GAGAACAAGCTAGCACAGATGCTCTTTTAGATCCATCTCTCGCTCGCGTATGATCTCTGTATCGACACGTTTGACGCGGCGAAACACGGATTTCCAAGCTTCGCGAACAAGCCGCGAATGATTTCCACCTGCCACTACTTTTATTCGTAAATTATTCGTGCGGGAAATCGCGAAGAAAAAGTTTTTTTTTACAAACTTGTCACAGAAACGAGGTCGAGGCTTATTTACCCCAGCTTATCATTGAAATTCCCCTAGGATGACGAAGCGAACTAGTAATTTCCACCATTATTTGTTTGCATTAATTGAAGGTACGTGAGGAAAAAAGCACAGGTTGGAAGCACAGTTTCGATCGACAACAGTTCTTCCGGTTATAAATTAATCGGTCGAGTTGACCCCAAGTGACCTCGAAACGCGGTTAATTATCGGGCATTAATGAGACCGTGTTACCGTGAATGAATAGGAAACTTTGACACCTGTTCACGCGTGGGCCTAATATCACGCGTTGCAGCAATGCAATTTCGCGAAATTGTTCGCGTCCCAGCTTTGAGCTCGATGATTCGGGGGATGGTATATAACCCTCGTTATTAAATTGAACGCCTGTTTTCGGAGGAAAGGAAGAGAGGAAGAGTAAACTGTGCGCCGATTGATGCCGGTTAATTCCTTTGTGGAGTGTCGGCCGAAAGCAAATCGTCGGCATAATTCAAACTTAATTAAGTCGGGTTAGGTTAGTTGCGAAATTCATAGGTTTGAACGAGAGTGAAACTTGTTGTCCGTCCAGTGAAAGGATATAATTTGATCGTCGAAACAATAGAAGGCATGTGAATTTCTCGAACGAGTTTTTCCCTGAAAAGAAAGTTTATGTTTTAGAAAATTTTTCGTGGAATCAGCATATAATTAGGCATATAAATATCCTGAACGTTTTCAACTCTGATCTTTCTCCGTGAAACGAACTTAAATTTTTTTTTTTTTTTTTTTTTTTTCTAAACGACGCCTCTCGCGTGTTTGCATATAGTGGCGCAAAGTGCCGCGAAATTGTTTTTTCATAGAACGTTGTGCCGGTTGGACGCGCTAGAAAATGCAGCTTTATATATACCCGGTGCGACATAATTTCGGGCGAACAAAAGTTACACGTTCCTTTTTCTCCCCTCGTCGTTTATCGATGTCGAGTGATCCTCGATTTCGATACTACTAGCACTACTTGTTGTTCTCCCGTGGATATAATGTTCTTTAGATTTACGATAGGATATCGTGGAAATCGTATAAAACAACGTGGCCTGGCCGATTACTCGCGTTACAGATGGAACGATATATCATCCGGTGAATACAGTGCGCATGGAGTGAAAAGTCGCGTGAAAACGAAGCGTGAAAAGCATTAATCAAAGAGGTTGAAAGCTTAGTTCAAAATGAATTGCGAAAAAGCCGGATAGCCGATAATACAACTAAGTCCCCTATGCCATTTTAACGACTTAACTTGGAACAATAACCAGATTCTCAATCTGTTCGATATTATCTCCGTGTTGGCAGAATTATAATTAAAATTTATAAGAGATTTCTATTCCTTCCCCCCTTTTATATTGAAAATAAAATTAGATTTGTAATTATTCAAGATAAGAATATCGAAAACTCGGTATATGAAAAATCTAAAAATAAAGTTTCGTCCCCTCACGTTCGGAGAAGAAGTTTCCGATACTCGAAACGAAGCCATTCAAAGACAGAGACGACAGAGAGACGAGGATCCAACGAGAAGCGAGATTTCCGCGTGGAAAATGATAGCCCATCCGTTGGAAGTGGGCAAGCTTTGCTAGGTTAGCAAAGAAGGAGGCCATCGATACGAAGAAACCAACAATTATCGGTCCAGATACGGCGGAAGACTCTGGATCCTCGAGAGAGGTCACAGAGGTAAAGAGATCTGTGTTATCGACTGATCTTGTCCCGGATGGACACCTCGATCTTTAACCAGGCAGGCTTTGGGATCTCAGACGCGCGTATCTAAATCACATCTCGCGGAAAAGTCGGCTTTTCCCTCTCTTTCTCTCCACCACTACTCCGTCTTTTTCTCGTCTTATCATTCTTCGTTCCTTCTCCCGAGGTAGGAAGCCGGGGCAAAGCTTTTTTGATTCCTGATCCTGAGGACACCGTGAGCAATTTGCGAGGATTCCAGGGGAAAAAGCTCGTTCACCCGGTCCAGATTCCGGAGCATATGCTGTGGAAGCCTCGTTTCATCGAGTTTCCGCGTCGAATTTCATCTTGGATGATAGAGGCGGAGGAGATAGAGAAGGGAATTTTGTTGCCTTTTTCGTATCTATTGATCCATCATGCAGTTTCGTAACAACAAAGCATCGAGCACGAGGTTAAGGCCTTTCCACTGACTGACAGACATTGTTTGCAGACCGTGCCAGTATCATCTTGAAGTTGGATAGAGATGGACGAGCGTCTATTGCCCCCCCCCCCCCCGTCTAGCTTCGTAAGAATAAAGCCTCGAATGGGGTTAAGGCCTATTTACATTGGCAGGTATTATCCCAGCAATGGTCCTTTGTACAGTGTCTATAAGACAAAAAAGATGGATGTTGTTAATTCTGCTGCCTTTTTGGTTGAGGCTTATTTGCACTGGCAAACATTGTCTACAATGTCTCATCCGCATCGTCTTGAAGACAGAATCGGAGGCAGAGATAGAGAAGCCTCCATTGGCCCATATACTTTCGTAAGAATAAAGGTCTATCTGCACTGACACAGACTGTGTGATTCGTCATAGCGAGGCCTTGAATGAGGTTAAGATCAATCTGACAACATCTATTAACAATCGGGCAATGTAATTGGATAATGTTCACTTGGTGATATTTTCATATTTATTTTAATGCTAGCTAAAATATAACCATTGATCTCCACTTTTTGGAAAAATTCTTTATTTTAGCGTCGGTTTCTCGTATAAAGATATTACATATAAATGTCTCGCTAAAATGAAATAATATCAAGAGAATAAACATTGGAATCAAAACTTTGTTTTCAATCAAAAGATATTACATCAATTATACTTAATTTTACATCCAATACGCATGATCTCAAATAAAATTGAATTGACAAATATTTTAATAAAATGGTCAATCGAGGAATTATTCAAATTTTACCAAAAGAAATATGAATAAGTTGGTGTTTCAGAAAATTATTCCAATGATACAATATCATAGTTTTGATGCCGACTGCTTCGGATGGAATTTCTGTTTTGTTATTTTTTTTTTTTTTTTTGTTCCCGGTCATAACTTTTCGTCGTTCAACCGAGTTTCCAATCAGAGTTACCTATGTTTTGTGTCTTTCGTGGAATCGAAACTCGCTCCATGCCACTATTAACGCCCTACAAGTCGAACAATATGTTGTACAGATGTATACCGGATTATGTGTCGGTTGAAACGAAACTTTTATCTGCAAACATCTGATAAAACTATATAAAAAAAAAACAAGAAAATATTTCACGAATCTCCAGCAATGCACAAACACGTTTCACCTTACCAAATCGAACTTTATTCAACAACAAAGAACACAATCTTTTTCCATACATTTTCGTTCGAACCCAACCCTGATCGCCACTATGCGTGGAAAGCAGTTACGCGTATGATCGTTTCGTTAGTGAAGCATCGTCATCCCGAACCAGGAGTTGAACGAAAAAAAAAAAAAGGAGGAAGTGGCTAGAAAATCGTGTCAAACGAATTTTCCAATAAATGTAACTGGTGTTCAATTTGGCGCTACGCGTCATGCTACAAAGGACCAGAATCGCGAGGATGTACGATCGAAACAGGATAACCTGAAACTCTGCACCGATCGAGATTAGCCTCGTCGATTGTTCGATGCGTGTACGGCGAAACTGGTTTTGTTGAAAAATAATTTTTATCCGAGATACGTGATGTAGTGGCGGCGGTTACTCTGGATTCTCTTGAAAGGTATTTTTTTAATTATTAGATAGTCGTATATTCTGGAAATATAAATTCTTTGTCTTATTTTTTTTTTTTTTTAAACAAAAGCCATCTCTGAACACAGTAGATGACATTTGATTACTCGACAAAGTTGGACGAGTATCGAAGAGTGGAACACTTATGGAATGGTGGAATTGAAATTTGATTGGGTTAGCCAAAGGAGTTGTCTTTTTCTATGTTTCTATCGTCTAAGTGAATGAAAGAGAAAATTGAAAAAGTTGAATTGAAATTTCAGAACAAAGGTATCAACGAGTTTCATAATTTGTCAAAAACAATTCTCTATGCATCAGATGATTATATTTTAGGAAGAGAATAATATTCTCCAAGAGATCAAATCATTCGAATATAAAGTAATAATTCTCAAACGTACTCCTACAACAATCTCACTTTGACAATTATCAGTTAGTTTCAATTCACTTGTAATTTTTAATCTCGTTCACAGTGAAAAAAACTGTTTATCAGAAAGAATTTTTAAAAACAGAAGCCTGCCGGACAAACTCGTGCTAACTGTCATCGACTTTTGTTTAAAAATAGTTTGTTTATGCCCGTTTCAGTCGAGGAGTTGGAATGTCTGGCCACCTGGAAGGAGGGTAGCAGCCGCTACCTCGTCGGCCGTTTGCATCACGGACACGCGTCCAGTAACGAAGATCGATACCGATGCTTCGTCTACGAGAAGGCCGGGCAGACAGTGCAGAGCAATCTGCACAGAGCTGCCATGGGCATAGGAGCCATGGATCACGATGTCGGTTTGCAGAGTGGACCGGTGCCCGAGGGCGCGGCCGAGATATACCGGGTGGCGCAGAGCGGAGACGCTACTTGCAACGGATTGTTCAGCCCGATGGAGGGGTCTCGGACCATGACGCTCATGAAAGGTGCGTGCAATTGTTTTCGCCTCGAGTGTGAAGTGTGTGTCGATTAGAGTATTATACGTATGAATTTAATCATTGACTTTAGAGACTAACTGTCTTTAGAGACTAACGTAACATTGGGTGAAGATTCTAAATATTTATAAATCTCATAAATCTTTTTGGATCATCGTGTTTTTGTGATTGACTGTATAAATAAACGAAGAAAATATATTTAAAGAAAATGTATTTAGGAATAAATTTACAGAGAAGAAAATATTCTTTTGGAAACACCCACGTGTGAGAAAAACAAGTGTGTGTCGTTGTAGGAATCACGTGGTTCGAGATATTCAACTGTCCGGTATTGAGAGAACGTGTCAAAATGGCGGCCCACAACGCGAAGCAGAAATATTTGCTGCTCCTCTAT